AAATAGCATTTCAGAGTCTTCTTCTTTGCTATTTGTGATTATAGAAATCAGAACTCTAGACATGGTATTTAAGTTCAAAAACTTTTATGACCCCCCCCTTTCTCTGTGTTAAAACTTTTTTGACCCCCCTATTTATAAGGGTAAAACTTTGTTTGCCCCCCCCCCTCCCATTTCCCAACCCCCCCTCCCCATAAATAATGACCACTCCCTTATTTTCATTATATGTAGAACTCTTGTATAAATAGAATTGAAAGATGTAGTTGAAATTGCTTGCATCTATACAGTACAGTAAGTCTCAACATTTTGGAAGTTGACTGCCATCTTCTGCAATGTGTAAACGCCAGCAGTACCTTTCGTTTTTTTCCAGACTTCTTTGGTTGAGTTTCATTTTGCTAAATGAAAAGGAATCAATTGCAGTGTGATGACATGATTTTCAAATTAAACACACAGAGAATACAAGATTAAAAATATTTAAAAGACTAACCAGTTTTGGAGTAAATTTTCCCATGGAGGCATTTGATACTCTGGCAGCATTAATTGTAGCTTTGACCTACAATAAAAACATCATCAGTCAATTGTAGCTTTGACCTACAATAAAAACATCATCAGTCAATTCAAACAGTTTTGTTGAATGTGTTAACATACCTGATTTCGAGTAGGTTTCTGAGTGGGGGTCAATTCACTTCCTTCTGTAAAATATATGTAGATTAAGTCAGCAAAATAAAACAAATATCGTAAAATTATTAAACTCAAGAACCTGAAAAATGCTACATACTTTTTTGAGATCTACCAATATTTTTTAATCTTTGAAAGTCATTTTTCGCCACTCTTTCTTTCTTCTCCTGTTCACGTTTTAAAAACTGGTCTTCATAAGGATCTAGAGAACGTAACATCATGACAGCAATTTTCCTGAGCAGCTTGTACAAGCAAATCAAAGACATCAGCAGACAGAGTCTTGAGATCCTTACCTGCATTGCCTGGAACTTCAATCAACCACTCATTCGTGTTATCATTCGCTCGTTTGAATCCCCACCTTGGTTTCCACGTCTGCAATGAATAGAGTGAGTTGGCAGCAACACAGTATAAACACAGAACAAACTGAGTTCCAGTGCTGTCCTCTTGACAAGTAAAATTGCCTGGTGTTAGACAGTGTACCATAATAAAATAAACCACATTATTAGTCTGATTAACCCAATGGGTGGCGGTTAATCAGACTAATAAGTGGGTTAATCAGACTAATAAGTGGGTTAATCAGACTAATTGGCTTTAGACAAAGTACAGTAATACACAGGATTGGCACTAGACCTCCTTGAATGGGGGGTATCAAGCCAAAAGTCACTGCAAGCACTAATTAATATTTATTTTCCCAAAATTTTTGGCGAGCTGTTCTGATAATAGTGCATTGGGGCACAATGCAACTTAAAGGTGATGTAAAGTCCGTAATGTAAACAAACGCTTTGTTTACATTTTGAACTCAGTGCTACAGTTGTAAAATATGATTAGATATATATTATACTGAATTTTTAACACTTTTCTGGTCCGTTATGCTTGTAAATGAATACAGACTAGAGATTCAATTCAAGAAAGTTGAGAAGGTGCAAAATATTAACAACATAATTTCCAAAGGTTGCTCCCCCAATGATGGAATGTTTTGATGCACAGAATATATGCGCAGAACGGACTTTACTGCATCTTTAAAGAATTTAAATAGTATTTCAATTTCTAACAGATCACTTACTTGACTTGTTTCATCCCATAACTTTCTGCCTCTTTTCTGTTTCCTTATTCCCTGGTTTCGATAATATCATATTGTTCAATATTATAATAGTATGTGTCTTTCACTAAAGTAAATGCAGCTTTTTAAAAACTTGTTTTTTAACTACCTTTCGTTTTGCAAACTCTTGCCATTTTGTAAGTGGTTTTGGTTTGGGAATCTATTGTCAAAGAATATTTAATAGGCTTAGTGATTTAGATAGTCATGACACTGTCACAGCTTAATCATACGAGTTCTAGATTTTAATGCACAAAGGAACATACTGGTTTTTCACGAGGGAGCACTGTGCTGGCTTCTGGAAGCTAGAAAAACAACAGAAATTATTCTATTAGATGTTACCACAAATAACAAAGAATATTCTGTTCAATATTTAAATATGCAGTACCTTCACTAGGACAACATGTTCAGACTTTTCTATTGGTAGCTGAAAACCAAATAACAAAACAAAATGAAAACATTATCTGAATCAAATGCAGCCTGGGTCAAGTGTAGGTATAGTGTACGTCAATAGGAATAGCATTGGTCAGGATCTGGCCAGGCAACCATGTTTAATCCATGGAGCACCAACACTCCTCCTTGATGAGTTGTCTGGTTTTGGACAGGGTAGGGTCATTGTGTACTCAGTTGTGGAGTCCTATACACACCAATTCACTAAGCACTAGGATTTAATCTGACCAGGCAACCATGTTTAACCCATGGAGCACCAACACTCCTCCTTGATGAGTTGTCTGGTATTGGACAGAGTAGGGTCATTGTGTACTCAGTTGTGGAGTCCTATACACACCAATTCACTAAGCACTACCCTAAGCACTACCATGTAGCCAATGATGGTAAATTTGCATGTACCAGAATGGTGAAATTTTGATTCTTTTCATTAAATGTACTCTTGTATTTGGTAGAAAATACATAGACTTAAGAAATGGAATCTCGAACAGTTGAACACACAATGCAACTTAATGGGTTAACTAGACACATTAACCCATTAAGTGGCAGCAAAGACATAGCAACATAATAAAGTAGGGCACATTCAGGGTGCAATGTAATTTAAAACACCCTTTCAATAATTACATCACACATACTTTTTGGTCCTGGAGCCTCGCTCTCATCAGTAAATTACGCAAGGTGATTGTCTCATGAATCATGACAGTGAGGCTCCCAGGCCAAATGAAGTAATTATCGAAAGGGTGTTTTGGATTTATTAAAGTAACCCCGTGGATATTCGTCCGACACCGGATCTTCTTGCTTCACGGCTATTAATCCGACAACGCTTTAAAAGCTAACACTAAACCACTAAATGCTTGCGTTGTTTCTTAAGAACGAAGCAACAACATATTATTATATACGCTATACATTTCGACGGTTTCGTACGCGAAAATCACGAAGAAAAAAAAAGTATAAAAAAAAAATAATAAAATTGTGGCACGAGCAGGAATCGATCCCAGAACTCGGCGCACACAATACGGGTGCCTAAACCACAACACTACGGAGGAATCGCTTGAATTTCAGTTAAATTTACGCAGTTTTATATTTAACGAGTTTAATGATTATGGAAATGTCGGACGAATATCCACTTCCTTAAAGTAAACCTTCAACTGTTTATATTTACCTTCCAAATGGCATTAAAAAGAAACTGTGTATTGTCTCTTGCAACTTTCTTAAGAATTTCATCTTTTTCCTTTCTGGAAATATTATTTTATATAAAGATAACGATATTATTTTCTACGCTAAGCATTTTTTCATATATTCTTCAGTACCACGTGTATACTCACTTGAAGTTTTTCCGCTCAAACAAATTGATGTCAGCAATTAAGAGATTTCCAAGATCAGTTTCTGGTTCTATTTGTTTATTCACTTCAATAGGTTTGTATTTCTCTCTAGTTTTTGCAGCAGAAATTACATCATTGATAGTAGTTGCCTCTTCGCTTTCAATATTCGCCGCCATATTGGGATTTAAACGCGCCGGAGCCTGGGACTCATAATCCTAAATCCTCATCTGAATCTTAAAATTAATCCAATCTGAATCTTATCTGAATCTTATCTGAATCCAATCATATTGGGATTTAAACGCGCCGGAGCCTGGGACTCATAATCCTAAATCCTTATCTGAATCTTAAAATTAATCCAATCTGAATCTTATCTGAATCCAATCTGAATCTTATCTGAATCTTAAAATTAATCCAATCTGAATCTTAAAATTAATCCAATCTGAATCTAATCTGAATCTTAAAATTAATCCAATCTGAATCTTATCTGAATCTTAAAATTAATCCAATCTGAATCTTAAAATTAATCCAATCTGAATCTAATCTGAATCTTAAAATTAATCCAATCTGAATCTTAAAATTAATCCAATCTGAATCTTACCTGAATCCTTGATGGCAACAAACTTCCCAACAACTTGTTCATCAATTTGGAAATATTTTTTAAAGAAATCTTGTCTCAATCAGGCGAAGTTTTCTTCTCTGAAGTTTTGAAATAAACAGACGTGCAGGGGCCGGTTGTATAAAAACGTAATTAGCGCTAACTGTAGTTAGCGTTAATCACTGTAGTTAAATCCTTAACTGTAATTAGTTAACGTGGGGCTTGCGTGGGGTGTTTAAACACAAAATTACATAAAGTAAGCACCGAATAACGACCGCTGACACACATTTTCAACATGATTGTGGACTCGTATTTTGCAAATAGGCGGGAATTTTATTCAAAACACTAGAAAACAGTGAAAAATATACAAGAAAACAAGGAAAAACCGCCACAAAAATCATAAAAGAATGCAGTTTTTCCTTGAGATGTCTACGTTAAACCAAGGTATAGCTGTTTGGCAATTATATATCAGTGTTTCTTGGTGTAATGGACCATACTTCGTCTTCGAGAAATCGTCCTGTGCAAAAATATGTTCTGTTTTCGTAAAAACACCAAAGCGATAGCGTTTGATGAGTTTATATTGTCAGGAAACATTCACAGGGAAGATAGCGATTGAAAATCTCAGGTAAGCGTTGCTTTTCATTATTGTTTTACTGAAAAATGTTGTTCACTCCTATACAAACGCCATTTTTAACTACGTTTTGGACAGTTAAGCTTAACTACGTGATTAAAGTTAACTATTTTTTAAGGCTTTTTAACTACTTTTTAACTGCAGTTAGCGCTAACTACGTTTTTATACAACCGGCCCCAGAAGTACATAAACTAAAACAGCAGGTTAAATTTTAAGCGAGTTAGCGCTCATCCAGCTTGAACAACGGGCCATCCCATTTAATATACACACCCCCCTGTGGACGAAAATTTCTGAGGGGGGTTGAAAAAGCCGTTTCTGAGGGGTTGTGTGCATCGGCATCCTTTGATCTTTGCGTTTTTTCCGAGGGGTAAGGCAAAAATGTCTTAATTTCTGGAGGGGTGTTTGTGTCGGCACTTTGATCTTTTTTTCTTAGGGGTTCAAATTTTATTGACTTCGTCCACAGGGGGGTGTGTACATTAAATGGAATGGCCCAACCGGCCCAGGCAATTAGTTTACAAAGGGCCTTCTCTTATAACGTGAAATTACATTATAAATCTTTTTCAGATAGTTGAGACACAAACACGACAGCTTATTTAATTTAACATTATTTTTGCTACCAGCAAACAATTATAGTTTGGCCAAACACAAGTTAGTAAGAACAGGTTGTGATATTGAAAGGCGCAGGTTTTCAAACTACAAATTTTCACTTGAATAAAATCAGAAGATGACAAATAGCTATTACTGTATTGTTTTAATTAGTATATTATATAATCATTAACGATGACATTGACACCATGCTGTGATCAGATAATATCAGATATTGGAAGGTAAGAATTATGTCAATCAAACGGTATGAGAAACAACGACGTGAAAAAATCTAAACACCAACACTGCCATCGTTCGAGATTAACGACAATCAGGCTAGTTTTGATTTCGTGATCTTTGACCAGTAATTGATAACGTCCAACTGAATAAATTACGACATTTGTTACTTTGAAGGAGTTTCTTATAAAATGTTCATTTGTCATTGTTAAGCATTTGATGCCATTCAGTGTCATTATATTTCATATAGCAGTGCACAGACCTGCATTGAAGTCATACAAAATGCTCTCTATAACTGTAAGTTTTACTCTATTTAATGATTTAAAGTAAACTTAAACCCAACTATAGCAATATATCTATTCTACTAAGCCTGAGTTTACACTAGCCAAGTTCACAGTATAAATTTAGGTAATGTTTTGAAGTTTGAGGAAATTAACTCCGTGTTTAACATTAAATCAGTTTCCTCAAATTGTAAATTTTGTAAATCCTTCAAAATAATTCACCGATGCAAAATTCCTACTGTGATCTTTGATAGTGTCAACCAGGCTTTATGACAAAATGATCGTGTCTTCGTTATTCTATCCCAAACTTCAGGAATGATCGATATATCTAAAATTTAAAAATATATTTGTTATCATTTACACAATTTAAATAAAATTACTGTTTCAGAAAAAAGTAAAAGTGTCGTTGGCGGTATTGACTGCAGTGTGCGTTATCTATCTATTTACATCAGGATTTGCACCGTACAAAGGTATCTCAAGATTATCATCAACTTTATATATATAAGCAGAATTAATATTTAACCTACATCGCTTTTACTTTAGAAAAAACAAGGTTATATGTACAACAAAAGTTTGTCCATGAAAAAGGTAATAGGGCCTATATATTTTATGAACGGAGACATTTCTGAAGTTGTAGTCAAGCTATTGTCAGGCTTGACCTCGCACAATAGTTTCACTATAAAGAAAAGTCCCTACTATATCTTTAATTGTTTTTGGTAAACTTTATTGCCAGTTGATCTCTACGTTTTCTTCACAGAGAACCGTCATTCAAAGAGATCACATGACCACAACGAAAATGAGCGAATATTGACTGATACGTTGCTTAGTATTGAAAGACAAGGAAAGTTTCCTGACGATAACCCATGCCCTTATTTGGGAGTACGTAAACCAATCACAGACAGCAAATATCCAAATGAATATGACGGTATTACATGTAAACCACATAGGTAAGCCCCAGACACCTAGATCTAGCTAGTGTTGTGAGAGGTGCCACAGTGCATGTGATCTGTGATCGTAGCAAGATCAGTAATTCATGCAGTATACTGTTCTCTGATTATATAATTCCACCTCAATCGCGAATGAGAAGAATGCTTCACCAATCACCACAGGTTCCCTCCTGCATTAAAGAAATGATCCTTACTGGACCTCTCGGGAGAACAGTATAGAAATGATAGAGTATAAATAAAGTTAGTTTAGTTTAGGTTTCCTCCTGTAGTAACACTGGATTAATAAGAAATTATCCTTACTGGACCTCTAGGAAGAACAGTTTAGCACTGATAGAGCTATCCAGTACAAGTACCCTACAGGACCTATTTTCTGCAGTGATAAAATTACTTTTGCTTCTACCAGACCTCACGTAAAAGACTGCGAGTTAGCCTACGAAATCTACGGCTCAGCGAATGACCTGAAACCAGAACAATGCACGGAAATCAAGTATGAAGACTTGTGTACATTTCGAGCCAATGAGAGTGCAGGAAATTACAACTTGGAATGTGATTGGTCAGTTTGTTTCCCGCGCACACCGTACATCGGTGAGATGAACTCAACTTACGGAAGGATTGTGAGCTGGATTTATGCGCCTAGTGACGGCACAATTGAAGAAATTATCCAGCATAGTATACAAAATGGATTCAATTTTGTCTTTTTTAAATGTGGTAGTTTAAGACAAGTCTTATCTCTGCCGAGAACATTAAAGTTGTCTTCCACAAGAAAAAAAGCTAGAAAGATCAATGTCAACATAATATTAATAGATTCCATATCCAGGCCGCACTTTTATCGCTCAATGCCACAGACTATCGAGGCACTACGTCATGTAGTGTACAATGAAAGCCTCCTAGCAACAGTGTTGGACTTTGAACTTTTACAGAGTGTCAGTCAACATACGATGGATAACTGTAGACCTCTTTATTCTGGTGTGACCTCAGGTGAGTGTACCCTGTTCATGATCAAGTTCTATCCATGATGATCCAAGACTTGCTCCAGACTGACCAGCTGTTGGAAAACTAACTTTCTAATACTCTTTATTCCAGGTGTTTACAAGGAATTTAGTAGTAAATGGAGAAAGTCAATCGAATCACTGGGTATACCTGTGTTATTTGGCGAATATAAGAAATCAGGTTATCAAACCTTGTTCCAAGAGGAGGGATGTTGGTTTGACCACTGGGGGCTCATGCTCACTGATGTAGAGAGGTATCCTACCCCTAGACGCAGGGAAGGCTTTGCCAAGAGGTAAGGGGTCACTCTACACACGTAAAAATCTCACAACTTGTCAAAACAAGGTTGTCACTCACAACTTGTTGACAAATTGTTGAATTGCAGGACGATAAAAAGTTGTTGCAACAACATGTAACAAGTCTGTTGAGCTCCACAACCTTGTAGCAAGTTGTCAACAAGCAGTGCGAACACATCCTGTTGACAAGTTGTTGGAACAGCATTGCTAAGTCTGAAAGCGTTTTTACGTGTGTATCCTGTACATGTAGCTTTACTCTGGCAATCATATCTCTGTTTGTACAGTAGACATTTTCTGAGAAAATCAGAATGGTTTTTACCTTAGGTGGCAAGAGCTTCAAAAACGATGGGAAGATTACTACATCGATGACTTTGGACTAACTCACTTCACTTGTGAAGTTGTCAAAAAATATAGCCAAACCAACGATTTAGATATACCAGACCAAGTTTGCTTCAATGGTGATTTTATCAGCACATACTACCTCAAATACCATCTTGATTATCTAAGGTCAGTGACAGTGTCGCTACGGTCAAGTACCTACTGACATTTTCTTGTATATCTTACTGACAACTGATAAAAATAACTGACAAACGATAGACAATTTAGAACTGATATCGTGGAAAATATCTTAACTGATAGCTGACATATCAGTAACTTGGAATCTTATAAAATATCTTACTGGCAGCTGAGAACTGGCTTGAATTTTAATTCACTGACATTCAAAGAACTTCATTAAGATCCCCTTATTGTTCTTTTTAGGTCTATCCGTGATTATCAAGACTCGCTCCCACTCCTCCACTATCTTCACCTGGTCACCGGTCACACCTCCTCTGGAACACGTATTCGCAATGATGACGAAGGCCTAGCTAATTACGTCACGCAGCTTGCACGTGATCCTAACACGCTGAGTATATTCTTATCAGATCATGGGCACACAAGAACAAGATTTGGGAGAACGGTCGAAGGTCGTTTTGAACTCTCAGATCCACTTATGTTTGCAATTCTTCCAGAAAACATCGCAAAAATACTCGGAAAAAATAAAGTACGTTCATTGGTCGAAAACCAACGACGGCTTTTCACAACTCTTGATATACATCGAATGTTGATGGCTTTGAACAATCCAGTTAAAATGAGTTCAGAAGATTATAAGGTTAATGGTATTCTATCAGTGTTGCCTAGCAACCGTACATGTAAAAACCTGCCTCTCACCCCCCTGACGAGGTGTAAATGTGAAGGTTGGGATCAGAAAGTTGAAGATAATTCCCAGAAACATGCTTGGTTGGCTGAGTTCGCTGTTGGACAACTTAATAATATGATTCAAGAGCAGTTTATGAAAGGTTTGAAGTTCTCCTTTTATTTTTCAGCTAGTTGTATCCCCATCCTTGTATCTCAATCCTTGGTTGGACCACTAGTCAGGGTCTTAAAACAATTGAGGAGAAAGAGCTACCTTTACATCGAGCTACCTAGAATCTATCACAAAGGACGTGTTTATACTCTTTCAAATATCTTAATTTATCTCCCTAGGGAATAACAGCGGAGGTTACGGCTCGTGTTTACGGCTACGAGGACTGGAAACTAAGAACAACCTCGAGAAACAAACAGAGGAACGACTGGAGATTACTATGGATTTGTTAGTGGAATCTGTATTGCCAAATATGGTGGAAGTATTCCAAGTGTTAATTGAAACACCATTACTACCAGACGAGACAATCGCTTCAGCACAGCTGGTCAAATTTGACAGACATACATTGTATAACCGTTACCAACATTGCGTGGATGATGGCGTGGACATCAGGTTGTGTACATGTGTAACGAAATATAACGATGATTCTCCGATCACCTCCGACCGTCTCCGAAGCTTAGCAACTCGTAAAGGGTTCGGAGCAGAGACTGAAGTGACAACGCTTGATAAAGACAAAGAATGTCTACTTCTGCTGAGCAGAAAACAGAATTTTAGTATTTCGTACGAGGTAGCGAACCTCTGTGATAGTATATATAAATTCCAGTTTCACGGAGAAGCATATAATATGTTACTAACAGCAAAGTTGCCTCTATATATTGTAGTTAAACCTAGGACAATTTATTTTTTACTCTCTGCGATCAGATATGTAGTGAATGATAGTTATCTTGATATTAACACTCGCCATGAACTGGTTACTTAAACGTTCATGTTAGCAAAAATTTTAATATTATGCAACACAAGTTTTTTTACAAAAACGAAACATTAGTACAATAGTAGTATAGTTTGAAAACAAGTTGATACAAATGAACCTAGAAATGTTGTTTCTGATTTACAATCGCTAAAGTACGAAATCCTTATCATGTATTCGTTCATTTGAGAAATGCACATAAGAAATTTTATATATTTTAACCATATAACTTTGTTTGGTATGGGACAATCGTGATAGTACGCTAGTCAGGTGTGAAACTTTGCAACAACGTGTAGTTTACTACTGCGGATTCAGGTAGACCGTTTAATGCGAATAGTTGTCGCGTTAGTTTTAACAGTTGTACGATGACGTTTCTAGGCAGATTTTCGACGTTTCTAAGGCGTGGCTTCAACGTTGGTTTTTAAAATTTGAACGTTGTAATTAGAAGGTAATTGCCAGATAGTATACTTCAAAATAAGGTTTCTGTTTTTATATCAATTTTTTAAATAAGTTAGGGTTAGGTTAGGGTTTAGTTTTGCGTTAGGGTGATTTTTTCTACGTTATAAAAACGGAAACCTTATTTTGAAGTATACTGTTTAGCAATTACCTTGTAATTACAACGTTCAAATTTTAAAACTAAACGTTGAAGCCACGCCTTAGAAACGTCGAAAATCTGCCTAGAAACGTCATCGT